GGCTCGGCTGCTGGATCGCCTGACCATGGTTGCTCCTCGGCCTCGTAGAACTCGTCGTCATCCTCGTACCACGAGTGGTCGTTATAGCCGTCGCCGTAATCCTCCCAGTCGTTGTCGTACCACCAAGCTTCAGTCCAGTAGCCGTCGTCGTCCCAGTCGGTCCATCCAAACCAGTCGTCCATCTCCGCGTGCTCGTCGGACTTGTCCTCCTCGTAGAACACGTCTCCTGAACCCGAGGACCTGTCAGCAGCACGATGGGACACAAAATGGCTAGGGCCCGGAGCTCGTTGAAGCGGCTTAGGTCGCCATGTACTTGAAGACGAAGGTCGTCCTGGTGCTTCTGGGTCAATCCACTTTGCTTCAGCCACAGGTAGCTCTTGGCAACGGTGTTCATGTCCAGGCCTGCCTTCAGCTTAGCGTCTTCGTATCGAAGGTCCCATTCAGCAGCAAATTCTTGGAGTTCCTGTCCATGGGGCCGCTTATGCTCAAAGAAGACCTCCAGAGCCTTCGTGGTCTGCGCCTCGTCCGTGTCGCCGAATGCATCTCGCAGTGCATTGCAGAGCGCCTGCACACCACTCGGAATGTGCCTCTGGATGATCGTCACACCGTCGACTGGGTCAATCACCTCGTCGACGCTGAGGCGGACGAGGGCCGCATCACCGATGTCGTATGTCCCATCGGGACGCACCAACTTTAGCTCCAAGGCTATGCGTTGTGCTCGTCCTTGTAGCCTGCCCGCTATCAGCGGTCCCACGACCTCATCTGGAACCTCACAGCATCGGTACCAAAGCTTCAGCTTCGCGAAGAACAACTTGAGTGGATAGGCCTCCACTCCCGGTTTCCATCCAGGAGGGACGTCTTTACGCCATTCGTCCAGGGGAACTCCTCCTTGAGACGGTTGCGACATTGTCTCCTTCGCGCTGCGTAGGGCTCGTAGTCTTCCGTCACCGCGATCAAGGGGTGAATCAGGTCGTAGGTCTGGATCGGGATCGCGTAGTAGAGCTCGAGCCGCCGAGGCCGCCTTGTAGACGCCGAGCAAGGGGGTCGCAGCCGCCAAAGGTTCCAGGCAGCTGCTCTGAGTCTCTCGCAGCCAGCTTCCAACAAGAAAGAGAAGGGCTCCAAAGAGGAGCTTCGTGGTGCTCGTTGTGCGTGGTGGTGTCGTGGGCCTCGCGGCCGCGTTCGAAGAAGTAGATCTCAAAGAACTTGTCCAAGAAGTTGTCGAGACTGGGCTTCCGAAGCCCGTCGTCGCCGCTATGGCGAGAGGAGCCCTAAGGCTCAAGTAGCACTACGCTGGAGCAGGAGCTCCGCTACCAGATTCAAATCCGGTCTATTTGCTGAGGCTCAAGCCGGCT